ATTGCCCAAGTGCGCCTGTAACCCCTGAGTGAACTTTTCTTGACTCTTTTTAAGTCTTAAACGAGTCAAAAAAGTTCACTCTGTAGGATCTATCACAATTGGGCTATAGTGCAGGGGTCTGTCTGCAATTTACCCTTAGGCCTTGTTTGATACCGTGACTGAGTGGGAACGGAATGACCTTGTTTGGTAATTGGTACCATGACTGAGTGGGAACGGAATGACAATTTCCATCTCATTCCTTCGTACCAAACACAACCTCATTTTGGAAGCTAGAATGCATATTCTCACTTCTTCATTCCCACATTATGTAGAAACAAGCATTCTCAATGACATGGTAGGGAATGGGCATTCTCACTTAAGTGTGAATAATTAAAAAAAAATGCATCACTTCTAAGCTCCAAGTATGTCCATTCCCGCTTCATTTTCTAAATTGCACCCACACAAGAATGGAAATGAGCATTTTATTCTCACATTAATTTCATTCTATTACTTGCTTCAATCCATGCTCAATTTACCCGATTCCGACATATCAAGCGAGGCATTAAAACATTGATACCCTCTCAGTTACAAAGGAAATCACAAGGTTATTTATATAATCTCCAACTGTCACGGATAGGCATGCTGATTGATGAAATCACACAACAACAACAACAACAACAACAAACTCAACAACAACAACAACAAAAAAGACATACACTCCCTACACAATTTATCAGGTTGCTAGAATTGAGCAAACACATCTCAAAGTATCACATCAGTCTCCATGGCCAGAGTCAGTTTTTTTAATTAATAAATGTGGAAGGAAATTAATATTCTAGTGAGAAGTAATATTATGATCATTTAAACGTCTTGTTTCAGTCCAATCATGTCATCTATCTCCTGCCCTCCAAACTGCTCATGGATGGGGACACCATTTAAACAACATTCAGATTTATCATTTTTAACAGACTTTATTAATCTCAATTTCTAACTGTGCATGTGCTCAGAGATGTACCTGTTGATGTGAGGCTAGAATTTCTGCTTCCAACTCAACCTTCTATACAAAAGTCTCAATCTATAAGCTAAGGTCCTGAGGAGATAGTCAAGTTGCCATTTTTCATTCCCAACAACGTACTTGCCAGAATCACTCCTAATGGCGATGACCATTAGACTACATTCACATTTCACACAAATATTGTAGTTTCCAATATATGTGAATTAATTCAAGAAACTCTTTTTGATTGTTGCATCACATGATTCTTCTATCCTTGATGATAGCAAATAATCCTAAATATGCTGCTCGGCTTTCTTGCAGGCTGTTCAGGAGTTTTATCTTGGACTATTTGATTCTGAAGCAACAACAGCATTCAACCAAAACCATTCTGATACTGCGATGCTAAAAGATCCTCGTTCCAAAGACGCCTCTCAAAGGTCAAATAAGCATCTAAACAAAATTGTCACAAAAAAGGTTCTTTTAACTGATTACTTAACAAATTGACAGGTATCATGCTCATCAGTACACAAATGGGACAATCTGTGATCTTACCAATCAGCCCAGAGAAACCGAGGTAACAAATCTATTGTAAGTTGTATTTTTTTCTTGGA